AAGCCCAGGAAACACCCGCCTTTTCGTGCATAGCATTGCATTGTCAGCACAGCATTATAGACGCCTTTTATATATAAAGGCATATGTATGCCTTTAATAATATAGAGAAACAAGCCACAGATATTGACATGTTGAAATTCTGCCTCAGATATGCACAATATTTTCTTTTACTCGAGAGTACGCAAGAGTATGAACATCAAAATCAGATCAATATTGCCAGGCGCTGCCAATGTGGTTGGATTTTAGCCAATTCGGGTCACCCACAGACAAGTCGACCGACAGACGAGAATTTAGCGTTGAAGTATCCCAAGAAAGACTATCCTCAATAAAGTAATCAACTACAGTGCTCCTCAAATGGGTGCTGATGTGCTGCAGTTGACAAGCTTAAGGAAGGCAACCCCTCTTAAACAATGAAGAGGGGGACGATGAGACCCCTTCCTGACTTAAAGCTCTGTTTCTTGTGTATGCTGTAGTGTGAACAGAGCAGTGAAGGAAATGTGCCGTGCACTAAGTGAATGTCAGGTAGGTTAGTGTGTTCCCAGTCCCCTCGGTTAGATTTCTCTCGTGAAGCACCACGTTAATACTGCTGATTCTCCTCCGATTCACCGCCGACTATACCCAGTGTCTGCCACAGAGCGTAAGGTAATTCAAGAAGAATTCGACAAGATGCTAGCCAAAGAAATTATTGAACCCTCCTCGAGCCCTTAGGTACCTCCTGTTGTGCTCGTTAAAAAGAAAGATAACACAGTGGCGCTTCTGTGTTCATTACCGCCATCTTAATCGAATCACGAGAAAGGACATTTATCCTTTGCCCTGAACTGATGACGCCCTCGATTGTCTTCACGGCGCGTGATACTTTTCTTCAATTAACTTACGTTCTGGCTATTGGAAGATTACGGTGGACGAGGCAGACCAAGAAAAGACTGCGTTTGTAACTCCTGACGGCCTATACCAATTCAAGGTGATGTCGTTTGGGTTATGCAACACCCCAGCCTTGTTTGAGCGTATGATGGACTCGCTATTACAAGGGTTTAAGTGGTCAACATGCCTGTGCTACCTGGATGATGTCCTTGTATATTCGCCTACATTTGAGACACACCTTCAGCGTTTGTCAGCGGATCTCGACATCTTCTGCACTGCTGGCCTTCAACTAAACTCGTCAAAATGTCACTTCGGCCACCAGCAGATTACGGTGTTGGGCCACCTTGTCAGCGCATCAGGTGTGCAGCCTGACCCGGAGAAAATCAGGCCGTCACAAACTTTCCTGTACCCCAGTCTGTCAAGGACGTCCAGAGCTTTGTGGGACTTTGTTCTTACTTTAGAAGGTTCGTGAAAGATTTTTCAATGATCACTCGACCACTCACTGACCTTCTTAAGTAAGAAGTGACTTTTATCTGGGGTTCCACTCAAGCTGCCGCTTTTTCTCACCTCATCACCCTCCTCACGACTCCACCTTTATTAGCCCACTTTGACCCATCCAACCCGACAGAAGTCTGAACCGTTGCGAGTGGTGATGGGATTGGAGCTGTCCTAGCCGAACGCCAGCGGGGACACGACCGAGTTATCGCCTACACTAGTTGCCTGCTAACAGCTGCCGAGTGCAACTATTCAATAACAGAGCATGAATGTCTTGCTCTTTTTTGGCCAGTCACGAAGTTCCGCTAATATTTATGCGGCACAAATTTCTCTGTAATAACGGACCACCATACGCTATATTGGTTTTCGTCACTGAAGGATCCTACTGGCCAGCTTTGGTGCTGGGCTCTAGGACTGCAAGAATATACCTATACAGTCATGTACAAGTCGGGACGCCTACATCAGGACGCAGACTGCCTCTCCCTCTACCCGGTCGATTGATTGAGCACCATCCCTGACACCGACACCAATACTTGCGTCTTCTCCGTTTTGCAACTGACCCGCATCGGTGACGAGCCATGCCGTGATGCATCCTTGCATGCTATAATCGAACATCTCGAATCACCATTTTCCGACAGGTCTCATTGCTCATTCGTCCTCCATGATGGTGTCCTATACCGGCAGAACTTCTACCCAGATGGACCAGCCCAGCTGCTCGTCATTACAAAACATTTTGGCTTGGCACTTCTCCACGAACTCCATGACCTTTCAACTGCCGGTCACCTTGGTGTGTCACGCACTTTGACCGGATTCGTCGACGCTTATTTAGGACTAGGGCTTTCATGCTCAGTCAGAAGATACGTTGCGGCTTGTGAGAAATGTCAGAGCCACAAAACACCATCGATGCTTCTTGTTGGGCCCCTCCAACCACTTGACATTTTGTCATAACATTTCTTCCGCGTTGGCTTACACTTCCTGGGCCTTTTAGGGGCGAAGCTCCTTAGGGCGTGGGCTGTGCGTCCCCTGTAGCCTGTATGTAGCCACCTCTAGTTTAGTTCTTGCAGTGTTCACTAGATGGCGGTACCGTCCCCTGTATGTAGCCACCTCTAGTTTAGTTCTTGCAGTGTTCACTAGATGGCGGTACCGTCTCCTGTATGTAGCCACCTCTCATTTAGTTCTTGTAGTGTTTACTAGATGGTGGTACTTGTAGCTGATGATGAAAAGATGCAAGATGTTATAAACTAGAAAGCGGTATTTGTAGTTGATGAAAGACGCGAGATCTTATAAAATAGGAATGATGTCACATATGGCGCGTGTCATTGGTTGAAGGCAATCGTTCGATAGTGCGGCGACGTATGCTAGGGGGAGCGATGTAATAAAATCGAGTGGGCAAAATGTACAGAGGATTCATGGTTTACCAGGTTTACCTCCGAGCTTCGCCCACTCATCATCATTCACTTCGTGGATATGGCGGAATTTTTTTTCCCTTGTCTTTTTCTAGCAGCAAGTGGATAGCTGTGGCCACAGACTATGCCACGCGCTACGTCATCACACGAGCACTTCCGACAAACTGCGCCAATAGTGTTGCCAACTTCCTCCTACCCGACGTGATCTTGCAACATGGAGCTCCACGCCAGCTGCTTACAGACCGTGGCCACATCTTTCTATCAAAGGTCATAGCCGATATCCTTCAGTCATATGAAACGAGGCACAAGCTCACTTCCTCGTACCACCCGCAGACAAATGGACCCACGGAGCATCTGAATCGAACATTTACAGACATGCTTGCGAAGTATGTTTCTTCCAACAACTCTGACTGGGACCTTGCTTTGCCATAGGGGTCATTTGCATGTAATTCTTCTCGCCACGACACTGCTGTTTACTCTAGATTTTTCTGTTGTTCGGTCGAGAACCCACATTACCCCTAGATACAGTCATTTTGTCTAACGCGACACCGACCAGCGAATATGCCCTCGACGCTATCACTCGAGCTGCCCATGCACGCAAAATCGCCCACACTGGCTTTCTGGCTTCTCAGGAGAACCAGCGGTGTTTGTATGATCAACGGCACCGCGACCTGCACTTCTTACCCGGTTCATTGCTCCTGCTGTAATCCCCGACCCGTCAAGTCGGCTTGTCGGAAAAACTTCTTTTCCGCTACACAGTTCCATATCGAGTCCTTCGTGGGGTTACTCCTGTGACATACGAAATGACCCCTGCTGCCTTATCGCCTTCAACTGCTTCACAGACCACCAATATCGAACATGTGGCATGCTTGAAGCCTTATTACTCTCCCGCTGACGTTGGCATCTAGACGCGCTGAGATGGCGCTTCTGCGGCCGGGGTTTATGCTACATGCATGTTGACATTTTGTGGGACGATGCACGTGTGTGCCTGACAAAGAGGACGAAGAGTGGTCTTCGCTCGGTGTCTGGTCAACCGGTCACACCGCTGCTGCTGGCTTGAAATATATTTCATCCACAGCCTTGTCGATACGGCGTCTCTTCTCTTCCGCAAAATGCATGTAGCAATATTATTCAAGCTACGTAGCCCACTAGAAAGCAAGTGCGAGTTTTTAATTTATGCACAGTGCAGTGAGGGGTCATGCAGTAGTATGTTACATTAATGCATGGTAAAATGTTATACTTTTGCTAGTGGCATTACTGCTGTTCTATATAGAGAATAATTTTATATACCCATCTACACGGGTTGTTCTATATAGAGTGCTATAGAGCGAGTGCAAACAGTACCTTGTGAAGTTTCTTTCCTCTGCTTAGGCTACTTTTCTCAGGACTCGTCTTATCACTTCTTTCGATTCCCAACCAGTCGACTTGCTTCTGACCAGACATTTTGATCTCCTGGCTTATCTTTTGAGCACTCTATGCTGAAGTCTTCAGCAATTTAGGTATTTTTTTTCCACTGTCATTTTTGTGAAGTAGGTGCACACATGAATTTATTTGTAGTAGTGTTGGTTAAGTATTTGGAAAAGTAAAGCAAGCAAAAAACCTGTGAACATGACCCGATACAATAAAGTCCTAGCAAATGTCAAATATATTTATTACACAATCTTTGTGTCCTTGGCACCATCAGTATTGTTTTGTAAATGTCGCTATTTTAAATATGTGCAATAAGGGATGCTCCTTGCACCTTTGAAAAAGCTTTGAACTCCTCTCAGAAGACCTTGAACACATTTGACTCTTTTGTGTTCAAAATGTGTAGGTTCTACCTGTATGAAAACTTAAATTTTGTACCACTAGCCAGCATTAGTAATGACTAAGCCAACACTGGCCACTGCTAACCAAATGTTGCTAACCAGTGTTAGACAGTGTAGCAGTATGCCAGTGAATACAGTAGGCTAGAAGGACATTGTTGCTTAGCATTTCTAAACTGCAGAAAAGTTGTGGGGGAGACTGTGGTGACAAGTGCAAAAGCTCCAAAACAGTGCAGTACGGAGCAGAGGATGAATTCTCAGAGCTGGAGTGTCACTTTAATTTAGAATACAGAACGGGGTGAACTCTAATGCTGAAGACTTGGGCTTAGCCAAGCAACAGGGAGTACAACGGGTATGACAAATCCAGCCATGATGTGTTAACTGCTGTTGGCAGCTAAACAAAATCGGCATGCAAAGCTGAAAGACTTTCATCTTCACAAGCCGGCACAACTGATCTTATTGACATTGAAATGCACTTTATTTACAAGTGTCGCTCTGGACACAGACACACAATGTTTTCGTGGCTCTGCTATTAGCTGAGGGTTGACAGACGAGGGAACGCGCTCTGCTTGCTGACGACCAGTTTCTGGTGCTGAAGTGAGATGTAGCCCTTTATCTTGCCCTGTGAAATGACAGCACAACAAGAAAGAGCGTATTATACATATTGCAAGTTCAGTGCAAACTGCCCATAATCGCAACACTTTACTAGCAATATACAGGAGGTAGTGTCAACTACTGTGCTTATTCAACTATAACATCACCATGATTACGTAAGGTGATACAGCAGATAGAAGATGCACGAAATTAACCGTGCATGCTCGGTTTGTGCGAATATTCTAGCATTCTAGTCCACATGTAGCCCCCCCCCCCTGTGCATGTGAAGGTAGAGAGGTGCTCTACCGCGATTACGTACACCCTTGAAAAAAAAAAAAAAATTCATACTGCCGTGAAGTCTCACTTCAAGATTAAATAAACACGCTACCCTCACATCAATTCTTCCTTTTTATAGTTTAAAAGCTTGTTATGCTGGCTTTTATGCAACTAAATATAGCAAATTTTGAAACATACATTTTACAGTTATCACTGGCATTCTACCAAATGTCGAATCCCGCTACTATTCAAAGTGGCTTTTGTTTCCTCTGAGCCAAAAATAATGACATCTGCACATACGTTGCCGGTTAGTGGAGTCATGACAAAGAAGCTCGTTCTTCTTTATAATATGTGATATATACTATTCAAATCAAGTCGAGTCAAACAAACTATATTTCGCCAACAGTTATGTCATCGATTCAAATTTATGCGAAACAAACCACTATCCATTTTTAGTTTGATTCTAAGCTAAAATTCACACAAGCCTAGTGCGCACTAACAACAAAGTGATGTGCACTCCATGCTGAAATTTCCATCCAGGAAACTTCACGGTGCTTTGCAGGCAAATTATTCATTATATTCTGCAAGGTTGATGTAGCGAAAGCTTCAAGAGTAACTATAACAATTAATACCCAACGATGAAGGGGTCTGCACATCAGGATTAGCCAATGTAGGCCAAAAGGTTGCGCCAGCAGCACCTGAGGAGTCATCGCCTCTTCAGAAACAAAGATAATTTTGCTGGTACTTCTTGCTTTTTGTGAATCGTCACGGGTTTTTAAATGAGCAAGCTTACGCTCTCGTCCTGTGCACCTGTCTATTTGCCCATTTGTTTATCCCTACGTCATACAAAATGAATCACTATAAAGAAATAAATGTATAAAAATAAATTTTCTCGTAGGTGCAGAATTTCGAATCTACGCAGCCACATTAGGTGTCCTACTGACTGGCTCACAGACCTGCACTTGCAAATATGCAAATATTTTCAGGCGAACATGTCCCGCCACCGTGGTCTAGTGGCTAAGATACTCGGCTGCTGACCCGCAGGTCGCGGGATCGAATCCCGGCTGCGGCGGCTGCATTTCCGATGGAGGCGGAAATGTTGCAGGCCCGTGTGCTCAGATTTGGGTGCACGTTAAAAAACCCCAAGTGGTCGAAAATATTTAGAGCACTCCACTACTGCGTCTTTCATAATCATATGGTGGTTTTGGGACGTTAAACCCTACATATCAATCAAATCAATCTTCAGGCGTTCTTGAACCATATGGACGCATTGCATCACCAGTACAATAAAAAAAAAAGAGCACCTTTTATGATGGCTTCAGTGAAATATTTAGTGCCAGCGAATTAACAGTCCTCTCTAGCACAACATGTAAAGCCGCCATGTACAAATCAGGAAAAATTTGAACACACGGGAGGAAATGCGAGTGTAAAAATGCAAGTTTGTTCTAAACTACATATTTTTCATTTTTATTTTTTTTTTCACTAACTTGCTTTCTCTATTTTCACAAAAAAAAAAACAACAACTGATGATTGTAATAAAACTCGAGCTAGGTTGAAATCACTTTTAACGGGCACAAGGCAGCCATTTAACGCTAAAGAGAGCTCATTGTCTGGGGTGCCCTGGAAATTGTCACCTGGCTGCTTGCCATTGCTTTTCGCATGAAGAGTTTGCTGAAGCCACATGCTCAAAATGACAATGATTGCCAAGCTTTCGTGATGAAGGAATCATTAAAAAAACATATCTTTTTTAAAATGCGTTTTTCTCAAGATTAATTTTTGGGCAACTTCTTGAGTTTAGACATCATGTTTTTGATACATATGATAGCTAGATTACGATGACATTTTTCCCACATATTTCTTAACATGTGAAGGGCGCAAGTATCTCCTTTAAAACTTGGTACTGCCTGTATAATTATTACGATCCTAAAGCAAGCAATTCGTATGAACTGGTGATTCTTCAAATTCTCACATTACAATTTTTTGTTCATTAAAATGTTTTATACACACTTTCCTGATAGTTATTTTCACTCTACAGTTAGTGTGGAGCAATATGAGTCATTAACGACTCAGAACCAGAACAGGTTTATGTGATAAAATGCTTGTCCAAAACATTTATACATTGTCATGGCACAAAATAAAAAATGTGGAACTTACTTTAAAAAAAAGACTAATTACATATTTGAATTTAGCATAAAAGCCTATGTATACAGCTCAAAAATTCCATTGTCCTAGGTAACAAATTAATTAAACATTTTTCTGAATTGCATCTTCCATTAGGGAAACATAGTTTTTGTTTCTGAGAATACATATTTTCATGGGACTTACACAACTTGTGTATATTCAAGTGCTCATTCCAAATATGGAATCATTTCTTTAATGCAACATGTATTTTTTAAAGGGACACTCAGAATAAAAAGCGATTTTTTTTCGTATTAGTAAAGTACAATTCCTGTGATCCCGAAAGAACAAATGCACGAAAAGAAAATGCAGGTGGAGGTGCCACTTTGAGATTCTCACACCAAATACTGTCATGTAGAAGATTTTGATGGCATCTGCTAGGTCTTAACATTGTTTCTAATTGGTAAAATTGAAGTACATCGTTATCTTTGGGGTCAAAGGACTTAAGCTTACGAAGTTTACAAAAATTTAATCGAGTCAACGTTGTGGAAATAAGAAAAATGCATTTCAAAATTTGTGACGTCACGTGCGAAGATTTCGGTGTAAAATTCAAAAATAAAGCTTCAACCTGGATTTTTCCATCTAATAATGAACTTATGATGATGAACTTACTGCATCAGAATTCTCAGAGTACAGTTTATCAACCTAAACCAAGCCATTGTTTTGCTTTAGTGTTTCTCTAAGATGTCAAAAATGTACTGTTTGGAGCAAGATTATCTCATCAGCTAGAAGTTGTAAAGCAAGTCAGCAGGCCACAACGATTCAGAATGAGAATTGTATGCTGTCAAAGAAGAATGGATTTTCGACATACATGCAAACGATAGTTGTATGTTGAGCATGTGTGAGTTAGCCCGTGTCAATCAGAGGCTTTGCTGACCAAAACAAAACACCTGATGGCAGGCAGTGCACCATTTGCCATAAGGAATTTTAATAGATAAATTTCCAGAACAAGAACACTGCCATGATTTGGCAATGTGTGCTATATGGGCTGCAGCCCACCCTAATTCTTTGGTAAGTTCTGATTCCACGAGTAGTCTCTCATGTTGATGTTTGGCCAACACATACGTACTCTTGTGCGGATTCTTAAGTCTGGCTGTGAAAGCGTGAGTTAGTTGAGACTCTTCGAAACTAATGTGAATGCCGGTCATGTAAAATTTGAGCAGGGGTCTCAAAAAAGCGGCCCACAGATGTTTCATGAGCAGCCCCGTTAACATCTCCATCCCACATTATATTCTTATTTTCTATAGAACTATGTTCATGAGCCTCACGAACGTGGCTGGCCTGAACCATTATTTTTTTCCTTTTCTTCGTGAGGCACCCAATTCCGTCACTATGCACTAAACATAGCTGTGGAATTAAAATCATACTTCAAAGCTGGCATTCAGATTTCAGTCACTCTGGAGATCAGCATCGATATGTATCTCAAAACTGTGCTGCCATATCCCCTTAACAAATGACCCATATATGTCATATATGGGAAAGGCCTTCTTTCAGTTAGCAACGTCAGCTGACAATTTGTTCACCCCCCCCCCCCCACTCCACTCCATCGCGCTTTAGTGCACCAGCCTTCTTCACTGTCATAGCCCACTGGGCAATTAAATTTCGTGACCACGGTCCACTAGGTACGGTAAGTTACAAAGCTTTCAACCAGAGTTTCGCTCACCTCGTAGATGAGATTGGCTATGATGCAATGCAGTTCTTCCCTGTCCACATCGTCCACCTGAATAAAGAGACAGAAGCAAGCAAACAGTGAAAAGTTTTACTTTTAAAGCAAAGGCTGTTTAGGAGGAAAGGTGGTGGTTAAAATTTTTGGAAAATTTAAAAAGTTCTCTGAACTAAACTGAATGAAGTTTTCATACAGGGTTTTCTATGGCGATTTCAAAAATACAATTAGTATTCTTTGAAATGGCTGAGTGGTTCCACTGACAATTAAAATTAATCACCTACTGGTAGTCACCTACAAATGGCAAGGAGAGTCTTATCCAGAATACTACATAATTGGATACCGAATAATGTAAGGAACACAAGCACACAACTCCAACTTTTTATACTGCAAGTATTACCAATTTTGTAGCAATTTCAAGTGCAATCTGCTGACAGGGCTATTGTGGGGTGCAATTATTACCAAGATTAAACATTTAAAAAGCCAAACAAAAAAATGTGCTTTTACATATGTTTGGTACACACATGTAGCCATATGACACAAGTATTACGGTGTGCCTCTTATCATGAGCGAGAAACACACAACACCCGTTCGTCGGGCAAGTTCTTCTATTCTCCCTCTTCCTTCTCTTCTACCTTGCTCAAGCTACCCGCGCGCCGGAGCCCCAGCGTCTTTTTTGGTCACGACAATGAAGCAGTCAACAGTCTATATGCTTTGAATATCAAGTTTAAAAAGACCAAGAATCAAATTCTGAGAAAGCTTCAAAACCCAAAATAGGCTTATTTTTACTATAGAGCACCAAACGTATAACAATATTTATAAATGTTATTGTATTTGTAAATATTCCAATACATGATAATTAGTCCCCAGGAACATTGTTTGCCTGGATAAAGTTGCCCCAGTAATATTTGTCACTTGTCAAAAAAAGAGCGTTTTATTCACTGAAACCTTACGTCATTCTCAGCTGACATTGATGCTGAGAATCAATGTTAAAGCTAAAATATTCGTTCACCCAGCACGAAATTTCGTGAAACGATACAATAACGATTGAAAATTCCAAAAGCAACATTTTCAAAGCATTGGTTTTTTTATTCAGATATTTTATTTTTAGACCTCCTCTTCCCTTTTTAGGTTTCTCCATTTCTATCAAGAAACTCAGACAAATGATAAACTTGAACTAATTGAAACTGCAGCATAGCAGCACACCACTTTTAAGTAAAAATTTTTGCCTTTGTTCTAATGGCAACTGAACAATCTTTGAAGTATGACTTAATCAGAAAGTCTAAATACAGTAAAGCTTCAGAATTTCAAAATCGTAGATTAGAAAAAATTTCAAGAGCAGCAAGACTGCGAAAACATAAGGCCACGGAGACACAGAGACTACACACAAGGTGTCTTCAATACGCAGTGTAAATGTCCTTGACGACCTCCTTATATAAGTACAATACTAGCATCGGTGCACTGCATGATGCGGTCCACTAATCCGCTTCTGTTCATCATGCAGATTATGACGTCCTTCGTCATGCGAATGTTGCTGCCCTTTCCCGCGGAATCAACGAGCGCTTCGTTGGCCAAGGCGAACCCGTGCACCAGCTGTGTCATCAATTTGCAAATCGGAATCGGCAACCAATCGTCCCGTTCAATGGCGCCACCAGTCCAAGCATGGATCCTCGACAAGATGCCATTCGCCCTACCGCCATCGTCAACAGCCAGCCAGCGGCCTATAAAGGAGCAGCGAATACCCCCCGCGCGCTGTGGGCTCGGTGGCACTGCCATGATGCGGTCCACTAATCCGCTTCTGTTCATCATGCAGATTATGACGTCCTTCGTCATGCGAATGTTGCTGCCCTTTCCCGCGGAATCAACGAGCGCTTCGTTGGCCAAGGCGAACCCGTGCACCAGCTGTGTCATCAATTTGCAAATCGGAATCGGCAACCAATCGTCCCGTTCAATGGCGCCACCAGTCCAAGCATGGATCCTCGACAAGATGCCATTCGCCCTACCGCCATCGTCAACAGCCAGCCAGCGGCCTATAAGGAGCAGCGAATACCCCCCGCGCGCTGTGGGCTCGGTGGCACTGCCATGATGCGGTCCACTAATCCGCTTCTGTTCATCATGCAGGTCTGTAAATCTCATCCTCTTTTCGCTAAAAAAACAAGTAATTATTGTCTTGTGCAGCTACCGAGCCCGCAGTGCTGCTTTTCCATTGTTTTTCAGTGTCTTTCCGTGATTAGATCCCTATTATTGCTTTCCGGTGATATTGAAAGCAATCCTGGTCCCGATAATGCCGCGCTGCTTGCCGAAATGAAGAAGATTTCCGCTGGTCAGGCTAAGATGATCGCTGAAATGCAGGAACTAAAGAACCAATCTATGGCTACGACCGCGTTACTGGACACGTTAAGTAAAAGGCTGACGGACCTCGAGGGTAATTACCAAAGTGTGATAGCCTTGCAAGGAGACATGCAATCTATACAGGCAGACAGCGAACGTACGGCGCAGCTGATCCATAAACTGGAAGCGCGTGTAGACGATGCTGAAAACAGATCTAGGCGAAATAATTTGGTTTTCTACGGCCTTCCAGATCCGTCTGCATCAGAGCCATCATCAGATTCTGAAAAAATTATTTACGTCATTGCTCAGATTACCTAAAGGTACAGCTTGAGCCCAAGGATATGGAGCGGGCACACCGAATTGGTCGGCATTCCTGTAACCGCAAACGCCCAATTATAGTAAAATTTGTGTCTTATAAAACGAAGGAAGCTGTTCTTTCAAAAGGACGTAACTTCAAAGGCACTGACTTTAGCGTCGCAGAAGATTTTTCACCAGCTGTTAGGAACGCCCGTAAACACCTTGTCGCCTTCGCTAAAGATAAATCTGCACCCTATTCCTTGCGTTTCAAAACGCTGTTCATGGGCCCAAAGCGGTACGTATACGATGAAGCTTCTCAAACAGTCAAAGAAGCATAGCAACCACAAATCGAGACAAAATTAATCCGTCGTCCGAAACCAACAGGCAAGTCACGTCTTCCATCTCAGTAATCTTCACTAATAACGCAGCTTCATTTCAAAACGTGAACATGTGTCCAACCTTGTGCTGACATCTAAAAGCAACATGTTAATTCTTACCGAAACTTGGCTTAGCGACCACATTTCAGATTCGGAAGTACTGACAGATTTGCCTAATTTCAGTCTGTTTCGTGCTGACCGACCGAATGCACGAGGCGGAGGTGTCCTCATAGCTGCCAGCCAGGAACTATCGTGCTCTGTTCTTAGTATCAGGTCGAACTTAGAACTACTTTTCATTCATTGTCCACGCCGCTCCACAATCAGTACTTGTGGGCGTTTGCTATAGACCCCCCCACAGTAGCCCAGCTTTTGCCATTGAGCTAAACAATGCACTCTTCGAAATAACATCGAAGCACACCAAGGCTAGCCTTCTCCTTTTCGGAGACTTCAATTTTCCAGACATTAATTGGCACAACTTATCTCCCCACTTAGTAAACGAGACGGAGGTAAAAAACTTTCTTGACGTTTGTCTTGATTTTAATCTTAGTCAACTAGTGTCTCAACCAACGCGTATCACGGAAAACACAGCTAACGTATTAGATTTAATACTAACAAACCAACCAGACAAATTATCATCGATCGGCAACCAATCGTCCCGTTCAATGGCGCCACCAGTCCAAGCATGGATCCTCGACAAGATGCCATTCGCCCTACCGCCATCGTCAACAGCCAGCCAGCGGCCTATAAAGGAGCAGCGAATACCCCCCGCGCGCTGTGGGCTCGGTGGCACTGCCATGATGCGGTCCACTAATCCGCTTCTGTTCATCATGCAGGTCTGTAATCTCATCCTCTTTTCGCTAAAAAAACAAGTATTATTGTCTTGTGCAGCTACCGAGCCCGCAGTGCTGCTTTTCCATTGTTTTTCAGTGTCTTTCCGTGATTAGATCCCTATTATTGCTTTCCGGTGATATTGAAAGCAATCCTGGTCCCGATAATGCCGCGCTGCTTGCCGAAATGAAGAAGATTTCCGCTGGTCAGGCTAAGATGATCGCTGAAATGCAGGAACTAAAGAACCAATCTATGGCTACGACCGCGTTACTGGACACGTTAAGTAAAAGGCTGACGGACCTCGAGGGTAATTACCAAAGTGTGATAGCCTTGCAAGGAGACATGCAATCTATACAGGCAGACAGCGAACGTACGGCGCAGCTGATCCATAAACTGGAAGCGCGTGTAGACGATGCTGAAAACAGATCTAGGCGAAATAATTTGGTTTTCTACGGCCTTCCAGATCCGTCTGCATCAGAGCCATCATCAGATTCTGAAAAAAATTATTTTACGTCATTGCTCAGATTACCTAAAGGTACAGCTTGAGCCCAAGGATATGGAGCGGGCACACCGAATTGGTCGGCATTCCTGTAACCGCAAACGCCCAATTATAGTAAAATTTGTGTCTTATAAAACGAAGGAAGCTGTTCTTTCAAAAGGACGTAACTTCAAAGGCACTGACTTTAGCGTCGCAGAAGATTTTTCACCAGCTGTTAGGAACGCCCGTAAACACCTTGTCGCCTTCGCTAAAGATAAATCTGCACCCTATTCCTTGCGTTTCAAAACGCTGTTCATGGGCCCAAAGCGGTACGTATACGATGAAGCTTCTCAAACAGTCAAAGAAGCATAGCAACCACAAATCGAGACAAAATTAATCCGTCGTCCGAAACCAACAGGCAAGTCACGTCTTCCCATCTCAGTAATCTTCACTAATATACGCAGCTTCATTTCAAAACGTGAACATGTGTCCAACCTTGTGCTGACATCTAAAAGCAACATGTTAATTCTTACCGAAACTTGGCTTAGCGACCACATTTCAGATTCGGAAGTACTGACAGATTTGCCTAATTTCAGTCTGTTTCGTGCTGACCGACCGAATGCACGAGGCGGAGGTGTCCTCATAGCTGCCAGCCAGGAACTATCGTGCTCTGTTCTTAGTATCAGGTCGAACTTAGAACTACTTTTCATTCATTGTCACGCCGCTCCACAATCAGTACTTGTGGG